GGGGGAGGGGGAGGGGGAGGGGGGGGGGTACCATTTGAGCATTCACGCTAGCTCAGATCTTAACCTAATCTTTTTGCTGTATAGGGTCATAAATTCAATTGCGTAAGAGTACACTGTCATAGTTACGCAGCTACTTTAATCGTTTGCCATGTCGGGATTGACATGACCAAACGTGCTAATTGATGCTCTTTTTGTTTAGAGTGTGTGTGTGTGTGTGTGCACATTCTACCACTTGGCTCTCAGACCATTTTACGCAGCCTGTTGTGTGCGTCCCGACTACTTCCGCCGCTTTGTTTGTTCTCGGCACGTGATGTCCATTTGGTTGAGTTCGCTAATGTGGATGAATGTGCCTGCTTCCGTAGGCCCATAAAATAGCTGGTCTTTTGCTGTACTTTTAATAGATCGTCTGACCAGTAAGCAAATATACTTGCACCCACTGAGTGCAACATCTAAGACAGTAGTGCCAATGGCTTATCAATTTTAGAGAGGGAGAGAGAGAGCTGTGTGTAACAAAGAGAGAGTAAGTTGCGTACAACATAATAAGGGCAAAAGCGGTTTGCCTTGTATGTGCGAGGGAGGGAAGAAGCTGGAATCCCCACGCTAAATGTGTGTGTGTATGTGTAAGCAGGCTACAGAGAGGCGGGCTGTTTGCAGTGGCAGAGTATGCGCCCTCTGTAAGTACTATGACGTAATTTCATTCTTCGTGTGTGCGCGTTCGTGTGTGTGTGTGTATTCACGCTCCACTCTGCCAAATTGAGAATTCACAAACGCACAACTTAAATAATGCTCCTTGATACACCACATCCACACACGCACACGACCAGCCTGTGTGACTTCCTCTTCTACTCCAGTACGTCTTTATCAAGATTGAGGGAGAATCTACTTGTATGTATGTACGTATTTGTGTGTGCGTGTGTGTGTGGGGGGGGTGTTTGTATTATGCGCTTTCGTCAGATGATGCCAGCCAGACAGTCGATGGAGGGCAAAGCGCACGGGGCTACTATTGCAGGGCAGCATTGTGGCGTATGTACAGCACTGACGTCAACTGGAGCGTACGCATAGGCAGGCTGCATCATTAGAAGCCTGTGCGCCCACAAGTGACCAATCAGCATGGTCCAACTGTTTGCGTTGTGCGAGCCGAATGCTGTCACGTGACTTTGGAGAGTGGGATGGGAGTTGTCCCCTTTCGCCCTCCCCCCCTCCATCCCTCCCTCCCTCTTTGTGCTATGCCATCGCATGTGTGCGTGTGTGTGCTGTGTATACGTACGTCATCGATGTTTAAATGAAACACAAAGTTACAAACTCCCAGTTCTTTCTCATTCCTACTCTTCTGCTACTTTCTACAATTTTGACTATTTCATAGTGAATTTGCCTCAGTTTCCGGTGATGAATATTTCCTTTGCTTTTCGCCAGGTGATGTCAACACATCTATCGATATGCATTGTCCTTGATTGCGAAATGGTCGCATTTTTTCTTTTGGTTGCCTTGGCATTGCATTCGCTATTTCCTTTGCCCATTTTTCTCTATATGCAGAGTGTGAAGGCGGGGAGCCTTTACGCCATCCCTCTTAACTAATCTTGATCTTTAATGGTTGTCATTTCATCTTTTAACTCGCTCGACTTTAAAGGCAGTACAAGGGGATCTTACAAGGGTGTGCGTATGTATGGGTGGGTGGGTGGGTGGGGGAGTTGGAGGGAGGGAAATACCTATACGTAGTTGTATTTATTGCATTATTCTATCTGAGAATCCCTCTTTGGGCAGTGTTTTGGGGTTTCTTTTTCTCTCTCTTCCAACATCAATATGCATGAATATATGTGTTTACTAACTTTTATGCTCACCTTTAGTATAAGGCCTTGAGGAGACACTAGGGCACTGTGTGATGACTGGTGTTAATGACCTTGGCTAAATCACGCTTCCTCTTTGCAGAGCCTCAATCTTTACCATCATCATGGGCATCATCATCAGTGCAGACGCCATCACCCGAAAGTCGGGTCCCCTTCATCGTCTGGCCCCAGCCAGACTCCTCTTCGTTGTCGTCAAGTAGGAGGAGCTCTTGCAACGGACCCCTCGGCAGCTTTTGTGTTGGCAGTAGAGGATGCTCTGGCCTCCTGTGATATCGATTCCCCAGGCGCTCGCACTGCACCTCCTCAACACCCCTCCCTCAGTGCTATCAGACAATCGCCGGAGGTTTATCGCGCTGTTTGGAAAGAATACTACCAGCTCAGGTCAGTCTCTCAGCTCCAATACCTACCTAATTAATTAATAAATTAATAAGGTAGATATTATGTTAATTAGATAGATGAATGGGAAGGGCATTCGGTATGCGCGTGTGCAACTTAGACCTCTTATCTCTGAGTCTCGCTTGTTAGCATTAGCCATTGTCAAATTCCNCCCCCCCCCCCCCCCCCCCCCCCTATTACTTTTAGGACATCAAGAAGTAAGATGACATCCGAGTGAGTTGTACGTTAATGCATCTTCGAAATATTCAGACATGGCGCAGAATGTAAAATTTTCACCAATTTCTTGCCACCCGAACGTCATTACTAAACTGATGGGATTGGCTTTTAGCAAAGTGGCATCTGGGGTTGAGACAGAGATTCCCGAAATGAGATGATGATGGTAATATTTCTCTAGTTAATCGAAGCACCACTTTTCTTAACACATCTTGTAGTTATAGCGCAGGCGGGAATGGACATGTTATTAAATGATGAATGCAATTAACTACAGGTGAAATTAAGTTAGGCACCTATTTGGGGCACCAATAAGGAACCGCGACTTGCTCAAAGAATGTTTGAGCTCGATTTGTGTCCTGACACAGGGAAAGAATCAACTCTGTAAGTCTTATTGCTGATTCGATATCGCTTATTGGTAGTAAATTTCATTTTATCATTAATGGTCAACCTGCAAGTGGACAGATAACATATCAGACAGAAGTCACATTCTGACTTTGTTTCATAAGGCCTCTAACGTCTACAAGATTGTTAAAGCCATTACTGATATGTATGGTCAAGTAATCACTGTCCGGCAATATCAATTTCGGTTAAAAAGTTTAACGTAGGCAGTAGAAATTCAAATGATAGGCTAACATGAGGACGATTCACGAGTTTATATGATAGCGTGTTGAAATGTCTGGTTGAACCAGGTCCTCGGCAAACTTACATGTCCATGAGCAACTTGTAGTTGCACTTGAGGCACAATGGTGGGCAGAATCGGAGAGAGGGGATTTTGGGTGCTGTCGTATCAACTCTACCTTCATAACAAAGAATTGGGGATGTGGTGGGGAGGGGAGAGGGAGAAACGTGTACATGTCTATGTTGCCATGATAACAGACTAACCGTTATCTTTTCCACCAACTTCCTATTGGAAACGAGAAACGGATCGTTTATGGCAGTCTCGATGCGAAAAACAATGGTTGTTAGCAAAGCGAACACCTATTCTACCACCTAAGTCAACCACACTTGATCCTTCGAAGGCATCTTTCATGCACTTTATGGGGTGTGTGAGTGGAGTAAATCCTTAAGAATTGTTAAACTGAACAAACAAGCTATAGTTGAAGTTTATTATCATCGTTAGGGCGCCCAAATCAGAGAGTGAAAGATGAATGTGCAGTTAGTCAACATGGGAATACCCGGCCATTCAATGCGGAATGATCTCGTTCATCTCCTCAAGAGCTTAAAACCAACTCTAGGAGCACAGTCATTTCGAAATGAGACTGCTGTTGAGGGTCACTTGAACGGCAAGAGTTTTAAACATTGGGGTGGGGGGGG